GCCGTACCCCACAGTTCAACAGACTCCAGGTCCTTCCAGAGCTGAGCATCACCCATGAGAGCACCGTGCCCTCAACCTTTAGATGCACAAATTTGAAGACTGTCAGCTCTGGCCTCCCAGTTAATTCCAGCTTCTGGGTTCAAGCACAAGGCAAAAGGACAATCTCTCTGAAATGTTTTGCGACTGGATGTATTGGCAGAGAGACTGCCTTTTTTGTGATTTCACTGAGAAACCCAATGAAATCCACAAGTGTTAGGGAGAGGTTAAATTTGATCCTTTCAAAGCAGTTTGGTAAAGTGATCGTTTTAGTGGGACTCCATTTTGTGCTACTTTTTCAAAAGAATCTGAGTAGCTACTGCAGTGCTTTACTGATAACTTCAGGGTGACACAGGTTTGTCTCACCTAAAAAAGCAGTTGCAAAATCAAACTTGCAAAAAGTGACCTGAGTATAAACCAATACAGCAGTGTTTGTACAAGTTGTAGAAGACTGAAAATAAGAGGTGTGAGCTTTCTACCTGTTAAATAAGGATTCTCAAGTTTAGCTTCTGCTCTTTTGAGCTGCCATCAGAGCATTTGAGAAAGACTAAGAGGGTCTTCACAATTTATTGTGAGTAGTGTTATATTAGCAGCATCATATTTGTATGGCTTTTGCACCATAGCAAGTGCTTTACAGAATACCAACCGATTATGTCATCTAGTTTGATTTCTTGATTCATCTTTAAGTTGCTTTTTTAGTTCTGGACTCTTTTGAACTTAAAATGGGGAGCTGAACTACCAGAGTGGTGCAAAATTTTAGTATAGTTTGTAGAAAACGCAACTGAAATCACAACTTTAAGAGCAAAAATTACAGCTACTGTACATTTCGTAGTTTTCCTTAAGTAATTTTTGACTTCTCCTTGCAGAGGAGTTGAATGGCTCAATCTCTCTACCAAAAGCATAACCCAAAGGTCCCCTGGATCCCCAAAGCAGCGGTGAATTTTCCAAAAGGCTAGCCAGCGTGTCAGTCTTAGCTATGAAAACACAGTTCCCTGTTTAGGATGGAAAGAGCTGGAGACATCCCCTGCCCCCTCAGGACCCTCGCCTCCTGTGAGAAAAGTCATGATACATCACGCATGTGAACAATATCTCTCTCTTCTTCTGACAGTTGCAAATTTTAAAAGCAGTGACTTGAGGAGGGGTGATAGATATTGCTGGATTGGCCTTCCCCAGTATAGCACACATCTATTCTTCCAGTGTGTAGCACATAGCTCGTTACGGTTCTGTGCAGAACGATTTCTCTGCATGGCCAGGTGATGTTTAAGGAGACTAATGAGAGAAATGATATGGCCCAGAACACTGGTGTCAGGAAATATATTGCCGGGTGTCTATCTTGGGGAAGCTGAAAGCGAGGCTTGTCTTATTATATATTTCAAAGGGGATGTCTGTGTCACCACCAAGTTAGACGTGCACCCTGTCCCATACTGTGTTCAAATTAGATTTTTTTCAAGTAGTAGTTTTCCATTCAGTTTTCATTGGCTTAATGGTAGGCTCTGTGCTGTACGGGGGCAAAACATTGGCATGCCATTCTTTTGAAGTGGGGACTTGTTTCTGAGACCATTGAAATATAACTACGCAAGTGTCAGAGGACAGGGTAGAGGCTATTATGGGCTTCTGCTTTTTGTGAGGAAAATCAAACAAATGTCCCCAATGGAAAAAGGAAGACAGCAGCTGTATGTGGTGACCAGAGAATGTTTTTGTGCAGTGACACTGTCAGTACCTGGTCTGTTGACAAACTGAAAAAACGGCTTTTTTTTTTTTTTCCTCCTGCTGTCAACTGAAATGGAGAAAAACCCCGTGAATTTTCATGAGATACCTTTTCCTCATTTTCAGCACTTAACAATCCAATTATATTTGGTTTTATGCTAGTGTTTGCCTCTATTACCATTGTTAGGTTTTTGAGTCATAGTGATTTTTCCATCCTGATGGTGCAGAAGAAAAATGTTTCATTATGACTGGTTATAACCCTGGAAATCTTTTCTCTCGCTCATTTTTTATGTCGCATTATATACTGATGCCTAAAGTGAAGTAGAATGAACCATAAGGAAAAGAAGCTTTGCTAAAATACAGCTCCTTCCACTGTGTAGAATTATCTTGAAAAAAAGCTTGCTTCTTTCTAATTTTATGCTTTTTTTCCCCCACTATTATTCAAGTAGTTTTTTACAAATAAATGTTGTTTCTGTAAGAATTGTTTATGAAGCTATTGCTCTTAGCAACCCCTGCTCACCTGTGAACAAATTACATGGCACAGGTAAGGGATTTAGTTGTTCCTTGATAGGGTGACCTTATAAACAGATTCTGCAACAAGGCTAGCTTTTAAATTCCTAACCAAATATATTATGTGAGTAATAAAAAGAGCTTCTCAAAATGGCCACAGAGGCATTTCAGAGCACATTCTTGGGAATATTCACTTGTGCTAGCATTCATTAAGTTTGCTTTCAGCAAAAATTCTCATGAATGAAATTTTATTCACTAGTCATTATGATTATTATTTTGCTATCATAGCAATAACCAGATGCTTTGTATAAGGCTGGGACCTGATTTTGTCTAAGGCTGGAGAAACATCTTATAGGGTCTCCAGAGAGTGTATTGTCTAAATATAAGACCAGACTCAGCTAACAGCTCATGACTGGGAACTGCAAACCCTCAGAGAGCAATGGGTTTGTTTACAAGAAAATTCACAGCTAGAGAAGGATGAATGCAGAACCATTCCAAATGTTTTAGCGTTTGAACTATAGTATGTTACAGTGTTACAGCTCCACTGAATATGAATGTAATTATCCATTTTTATGTTATAAAGGTAGTTTAGGTGATGATGACTAATCTTATGGATAAAAGTGAGTATCTGTACAGATGCAGTTCATTAATATACTGGACTAGTTTATCCACACACTAATGAACACACTGGAACTGGACTGTTTTGGGGTTTTTTATTTAAAATATGGCCTAAACCAAATATATGTACCAGGAAAATCTCTGAAGCATAGGCTATGCCAGAGAGTTGAACTCTCAGTTGTGTAATGCACAGCCTCCCAGAATGTGAATAAAGCCCTTCCTGGAAAACTGAAGTGAGATTTTTAGCTATGCGCAGCTGAAGTATGTATGAAGTCTTGTTTCCTCCAGTCTAGAGGAACGTAAAAGAGCAGCTATCCTACCATGCTGGAGGAGGATGACTGTGGCAGAGCAGCTGCAAATTTTGGTTTGCTGTATTAGAAATGAGAGACCAAGAAAGCATGGCCAATTTGAGTATGGAGGTTGTGCCTAAGTCTAGGCACAAGGAAGTATTTTCAGAGCTGGAGCTCATTTGCTGAGCATAATCATACAAAGTTACTTTGTGTTCCATCACTTACTGGGGGAAAAACACATATCCTGTGCCTTGGAGGTGATGTAGTTTGGCCAATTTGTAGAGTCTCTCACCATGCCATGACCAGCACTGGCTGCTATCTGGAGCATTGATTCTTGGGTGTACCAGGGTGCAAGGTGTGCTGTGGTCATGGGTACAAGGTGCCTAAGATACATGTGCAAAATGAAAAGGTTCTGTGGGGTGGAGGGACGGAGCTGTTAAGAAGGCAGTGTGACAATCCCTTGTATTACCCAAAACTCAGAAGAACCATTCCTCTCTGCATTGTAGATCAGTCAGAACTATTTGCAGAGCTAAGCACAGGACACTAAATATTACTCCTCTTTTGTTGTCTCACTGTTCTCTTTTCCCATGTTGAGTGGAAAAAAAACCCAACCCAAAAACTGATTAAGTCCTCTGACATTTATAATTAATTAGTCTTTCCTTACTCTTATTTGGTTTGCCTGTCCTTTTCTCCAGCTTTTTCTTTTTCTACTTTGTCTCTCAATCATCAGATCCAAGAAATCATTCAAATGATTTCTTTTTAACAGATAAATGCAGCTTTACAGCATTTTTTTCTTTTGAAGAAAGACTTGGTTCCTTCGTTTGTCCATCCCACTGCACAAGTTGTCATGTTCTGGCACTGCAGTCACTTCAAAGTCCTTGAGCTATCATGTATTCTGTTGGTATTTGAGGAATTGAAAATCAATCACATAGCCTTATGGCTTTAGGTTCAGCACAATTCTATTATGCCCACTCCCAAAAGTCAATTCAAACCTTTTGGGTTATATTTCAAAGCCTAATCAAGCTTGCTGTCCAGGCTGGTTTGGAGTCAACTCACTCTTGTCCATGGGTCTGTTTATTATTTTTTTTCTACCAGAAACTAGTGTGAAAGAAAGCAGTTTTCATAACAGTAGAATCATCCAGTGGGCATTTTGCGAAGATAAGCCACTCAGAGGTAGAGGAATGCTTACTGTTGTCATGCATTTCTGAAAATATGTTTAAAATAATTTTTAAAAATGCTGTGTTGGTACAAGTGTTCATAACTATACTTTCTCATAAAAACATGCAAGTTTACTGAGATCAGTTTCTAGTCCTGTCTTGTTAAGCTGGCACAGAAATTATTGTAGATGCAACCCTAAATCTAGATGGTGATTTTCATGATTTGGACCATGTGAACAAATGAGGATGATGCCTCCAAGCAGATGGGCCAACTTCTCCAAGCATGGGTTGTGCCACCTCCAGTTGGCAGGCGCACATGGGACCGTGCATTGACTATGTCAATCCCCTTACTTCTGGCAAGTGCCAAGAACTCACCCTGAGGATGAAAGGAAGCTCTGCATGGAGTGCTGGCCACAAGCAACCCACTGTGAAAATATGTACCTGTCATGTACTGGGGGCAGACCAGTCTCATCCCACTGGGGAGAAACCAGTGACCAGTTGCTAGTGATGGCATTTCTATATGATTTATAGGAAGTCTTCCCACATGGTGAAAGGCTGGTGGCCATTCTCTGTGAGCCAAGTGGGCAGCATAAATAGGAAACAGCGTTCTCCTTCAATCCCCCATGGGTAAAGGCATTGCTCTGTGACCTGATCTGTGTGCTTCTTCTCCTGTGTTCTGCAGAGGCGAAGAGATTTTCTTCAGTGGATGCTAGACTCTCGCAGCTCAGCTGACTCCCTGGCAGCCGGGTGTTTTGATGTGATCAGTCCATCTGCCACTTCCAGACAGAACGAGGTGCCTCTTGCTGGCAGGGGCCCATCTGAAAAGGTTCAGAAGACATTAACAGAGGATGAGATAGCAGGCCAAGCTTTCCTGTTCCTGATCGCTGGGTATGAGACCACCACTAGCACACTGTCCTTTGCCACATACTTGCTAGCCACAAACCAAGAGTGCCAAGAGAAGGTGCTTCAGGAAGTTGATGATTTCTCAGCAAAACATGTAAGTATGATGTGCTGGTGTGGAGCTTCATGCAGGGAGGAAGGCAATATGAATGTTGTCATGCCGCTGTGGCACCTGCATGATCCCTGTTTGTCTAAGTTATTTATGCATATATTAAGATTTTATTAATATTTTGAGCCAAAAAATCAAGATTAATCTATAATGTTTAGGGTTTTTTGGAAACTGTTAAATAATGTCACTTTAGAGCAACTGAAGACATGGACCAGAAACTTTGCATCGTAGTGAAAGCTTAACCTTTACATAATATTTTACATTATTCAAGTAAACCAGCTGTTGTCAGACTCTAAAACTATGTATTTCTATTTTTTTCCTCTTGTCAAGATACTTTTGTTGGTTTTGTTGTCAATTTTATTTACTGATCTTTGTAAGGACATAAACAGTGTTCTTACAAACCGTAAACTGCAAATTTTTTGCTTTTCAAAAACTTCCTACTTTTTTTTTATTCACCAGCAGAATATATGTTAACGCTTCAGAAAAGAAATCACAATGTCACAATGTCTTATTCTCTTATACTGTATTCAAATTACTTCTCATTCACTATCTGTATTTACCAAGGGTATTTATGTTTCCTGGATAACTGTTGACAATATTTTGTATATCTAGCAGACCATGCAGCAGCCATTCTTCCACCCTACACTCTCTGCACAAGTTGTTAGTTATGGGAATTCAGAGTCGTCTTCTTTTCATGAACACTTTTATAATGGATCATGAAGCTAACAGGAATAATATGACACCACCCATGGCTGTCCTGCAGGATTTCAGCTGCTAGATTTGCATGCTTGAAAGCCTTAACTGTACGTTTTGGGGAGTTTCACACTTTTTATGCATTCCGTCCTTTGTGTTTAACTCAGAACTAGAAGAGTTGTATGATTTTCTGCTTTGCTGGTAATAGAAAATTCTCGACTACACGAAGTGTGCCCAGTCAAAAGCTACCATCCTTTTGCTTGTGCAAACATAAAAGCCAGGATCTGTGTACACAGAAAATATCTTCTTTCGTCTTGCATGACGAGGTTCTGAGCGTGGTGGTTCTCTGTCTAAGATTGCTTTTGCTCTGAGGGCACAGATGGATGACAGCAGTGGGGCCAGGATTGCGCAATCTGATCCACAGAGCATTTTCTCAGTGCATGCTTCATACGTCTGGTGTGAGTTAACTCCATAGAATGAAACCATTGATGTGTTATGTTTTAACCTATAGGGCTTGGGTTATATGCTTGGATTATTAGCTCTACAACATTCCAGCTGGAGCATATTTACTTGTTTCATTCAAATATGGCAGACCTAATTATGCCCTCGTGTCTGGTTAGTTCAACTGACTTTCTTAAGCCCTGCGAAGATATGAAGTTGCAACTTGGTCTGGAGTATGCACAGTTTACTTGTTAATACTGGGGGCAGTTGCACATAAAAAACCCTGTTATGCAGCCCCAAGGAAAATATGATTAATCTCCTCACCAGTTCCTGATAACTGGCAGATTAAGAAACCAAAGTGGAATTACTGGGAGAGATACCCAATATGATAGGTACTTGATGTCTTCCATATCTGTCTGTAGGTGGGGATATAAATTAGTAAACTTTTCTGTCTAAGTGCATAGAAAGGTGACCGCAAGCAGTCATTAACTGACTGATTGCTTACAGACATTTCACATAGGGAAACCACGTATATGGCTATGTCTACATCAACAAGTGTTGTGCTCCTGTAGACACAGATTTGTCACCTAGCACAACTGGTAGTGAGGAATGTTGGGTGCACGCTCTACACACTTCAGGAGGGGATTGTTTTTTGGTTTATTTTGTTAGTTCAAGTCTGACCCTGTGTACCAAATTCCCCTTAGCAGTTGGACTGATCTTCTGGTTTAGTTCCAGTTAAAGGAGCCCTTGCTGTGCACTTGGAGACTGCAGTGTGCACCAGTGCAAGAGACTTGCATGTAGGTGTCCTCCTGATCCAAGCTAGAGAGCTAAAGGGACCCTATGTTATATATGGTCTGTCTGAGCTGTCACTTACTATTAGTGGTATTTCAATAATAATCCAATTCAAATGCGTAAGGCTTGACTCTCTTGGTTCTTTAACAGGAATATCTTGCTAATAGTTTCAGCTTTTGCAGTGTCTAGGAGAGGCTGTGGAGCCAGGGACACTTGTGGCAGAGAAGTTGAAACTTGGTGTAGAGAGATGGCACTCAAATTAATTATTTTTGCAGATCAGCACTATAGACAATCTGTGTGATGCCTCAACCCAAACTGGTGGCCTCATCCCGAACCATCCTGTCCCATGTCATATATTGATTGGAAGTACCTTTCAAATCACTTCCCCATACTTTACTAGTTTTCACATTTAGCTTTAGATGATGCATATATGGCTGTGTGGCCAAGGAGAAGAGAGAGAGAAGGATAACTAACTGCTCTCCTTGATGCCAGGAAATTCATAGACCTAATCTGTGCAGCCCTATCCTTCAAAAGATTTCCTATTATAAACAGCTTGTTATTTGAGGAGGGGCAATGCACTGCTTAAGGAGCACATCCCAGAATAAGGAAAAGGATGCAGCAGTTCATTCGCCTTAGTGACTGTAATTAACTACTTCTAGTCTAGAAAATAAGATCTATGCAACCGTTTGCAAGTTATGGGAGCAGAAGCTATTTTAAAACTAGGATCACATAGATGCTATGTTCAGTTGTCATGCAAGGGAGAGGAAGGGAGGGGGCATAGCAGCTATGAGTTCACAGTTAGTTATCAAGTCAGTTGCTAAGAAATTTGATTAGGTTATTGCTTGTGCCCAGCACATCGGCTTTGCTCTTATCAATGTGCTTTGCAATTTTCAGAAAGAAAGGGCCTTCTAAAGAAGGCCAAAACATGGGGAATGTAGTCTGGTTGTTTTAACAGCTGGTGGAAGACTGCTTTGATTTGCAAATATGCAAGTGTTAAACACAGTCCCCTCTTCAGACAAATTTATACCCAGGTAATTATAACCTCAAAATGCTCTCCACCATGTCCCCCTTCCTTCCTCCAACCATACCAGTTGCCTCATGCAGCATATTTTATTGCCTTGATCTTTGGTGTAGAGCTGCGATCTGATTTTACAGCAGCTGCTGTGTATCATCCCAGAGATGGATGTACTTCTGTAGAGGACAGGGTGATTTATACACTCATTTACTAAAGTTTATAAAGACATGTGAAAGCCATCTGAGAAACAGTGCTATAAATGACAGGCACAGTTCCAGGTTTTTTGGCACACCAGTCAAAAACTCAAGGCACTGTGACTTTGTGGTAGACAGTAAGGAGAGCAAGGTCAGTCCATCTGTGCATACAGCAGTATTTTGGTGGCTCTGGGTATTGTACTTAAGGATACTCCTGAGTTTGCTCTGATCTTCATCTGTCTTGCTTGCACAGTGGTTACCTCAGCAGAATGGAACAACATGAAGGGGAAAGAGAAAGCCAAGGCACTTCTGTTTGAGAGAACCCTGTGCTAGCTTGGTGCAAGCTGCTGTGGTGCGGGGCAGAAATACAAGGTTAGGTGCTGGAAGTGATCTAACCACAGTGCTGTACTGAGAGTTGGGAGGCCAGAGGAGAGGTCCAACTGACCGTGTTGTACTGCTGTGTTGTTTCTAGCCAAGTTTGTCTCAGAGCTGTCTTGGAAGACCTCTTTGCCTTTCTCCACCACACTGCCTGAATATGCTGTAGAGGTGGTACTTCCAGACAAGTGTCCTCAGAAAACAGTACCTGGAGCAAGTAACGGGTTGTCACCTCTTTTTTTACCTCTAGGACCTTCCTCATCTGTTCAATAAAGGACTTTTTAGGTCTTCTCTTGGCTGATAGCTCAATATGGAGGCTTGATGATCTTTCCCTGAAAGTGAGAAGTGACACCTAGCCTATTTCAGAGTCTGGCAAGCAGGAGAAACCTCTATCCTTGGTTATTGTAACAAGCAAGATACATGGGTTATTGCCCTCCTCACCTCTGTCTGGATCTTTGGGGTATAGGGAAAAGGAGTGCACAGCTTTTCATTGTCTCTGGGGAAGCAGAGAGGCAGGGAACTGAGTGGTGACTACTGTCACCACACACTGCATCTTCCCATTCTACCTGTAAATCCCTGTGTCTGCTCCAACTGCACTGGAAAAGACAAGTTTGAGCATAATTCCTCTAACAGACAAACTGAAATTAAAATTGTAGAGACTCTGACCTGGCCATCTTCATTAAGCCCTTGGAAGTGTATGAGGGCCAACTGTGTGCTGGGGTGCATCAAGCACTGTATTGTGCGCCAGTCAAAGGAGGTGATCGTCCCGCTCTGCTCTGCACTGGTGCAGCCTCACCTTGAGTCCTGTGTGCAGTTTTGGGCGTCACAGTATAAAAAGGATCTGAAGCTCTGGAGAGTGTCCAAAGGAGAGGCACAAGATTGGTGAAGGGCTTAGAGAGGAAGCTGTATGAGGAGAGGCTGAAGTCGCTTGGTTTGTTCATCCTGGAG